CAAAATGTCACATACATAATTAAAATCATATATACAATCCTTTTAAAGACAGTTGGCCAGATCACAATTTTTAAAAAAAATGAAAACAAAAGTTGTTTTAATTTCATTTTCAAATAAAAGCCAAGGAATTCTATCAACCAGCATAAAGAATCTCCCCTCAATATGTTATCAATCCTTGATGATCGACCTTGCTTAATGTCTGCAAACTTGAATTTTATCCATGATAAATTATCCGCCACCTTGAATGTTTTCATATAGCTTTGTGTGATTAAAAATATGCCTGCCACCTTTGAAAGTTGACCGTCGTCTCGACCCTAGTAAAACTGACTTCAGAGAAGAAGCACCACCTGTTGAAGATTTATGCCACAAACAAACAATCCACACAAAAATAAACATAATCACAGCACAACTGTGTATGACGACCCCCACAGGATTGACATAATCAGCTATTTTATATTCTGAACATGAGACACTATACATGCTATACCAACATAAACTTTTACATATGGGTTTACTCACACACACAAAAAAAACAACAGTTGCACTAAATGTGATAGACTAACATCAACTTTTATGCACGAGTTTAACTCACAAAGTAAAGTTTCACTAAATATACTAGACCAACATTAACTTTTATGTATGAGTTTAACTCACAAAATAAAGTTTCACTAAATATACCAGACCAACATTAACTTTTTTGTACGGGTTTATCTCACACAAAAAAAAACAACAGTTTCACTATACGTGATAGATCAACATCAACTTTTATGTATGAGTTTAACTCACAAAATAGACATTTCCAAAATGTGATGTTATTCATGCACTAAGTAACTATCATGACATGTGGAGTGGACTACTATAAATTTTTTGATGATAACAGGACTGATATGTATGCATTTAAGTATATGGAGGCCACAACAAGTCATCGTCATAATAACATAGGAATGTGTGTCTTCATACCTTCATGATGATTAATGTAATGCAAATGAAAAAATAATTTTTCTTTTTTTTTTGGCATTAATTGTAAAATACAAAAAAATTAAAATTAAAAAAAAAAAAAATGTAAATTCGAAAATTAAAAATGTTAATTTCACTAACTCAGATGATATGATCTATCAAAAAGGAACTTCAAGATTCTTAAACAAGAAAAAAGTTGAATTGAAAACATTTCTTTTTTTTTTTTTAAATAACAAAAAAAAAAAAGTATGAATGAGAAATTAGAAACTGGGACTGTATTACATAAGGAACAGTTTATTCCATGCAAAGATAATCAGTTATCAAAAAAATGTGTTAAGCAGGAATGTAGTTATGGTACAGTAAGCCTCATTGATAAACAAAGTTATAATTTTCAAATTGTAGAACCTTCTCACAAGTCCTTAAACAGATACACACAATTAGATATTGCACCTTCCTACAAAATATACCCAACTGACTAAAAACATGCCCACATTGATGGACTTTACAACGAAGGTTAAAACAAATTCTATGCAACAGTTAAAACGATTGGTTGTACAAGGGGGATAACCAAAATAGTTGTTTCTTGTTACCCAAGTAGGAAACCTCAAAATACTAATCACATTAGTGACAGTAAATGACAAATTTAGCTTCAATACAATTTTTTAGTCATCACATTTTATCATACTGTGTTTCATAAAATTTTCTTAATCTTAATTTCCTTCAATTAAAAACAAAAAGTTAAAAATATCTTCGTGTAAAACCTTTCTTTAAAATTAAAACAAAAATGTACACCCATTATAATAGCTGTTACTAAGTATGAATTATTTTTTTCAGTCAAGTGAAAATACTTAAAAGCTATATGAGGATTGAGTATTGCATGAACTTGAATAAGGCCAAATTAAACATTACTCCCTCTGCGGAGTAACATGGATCATAAAGTAAAAACCCATCAGATTGGGTGGTATACAGATCAACATCTTAAACATAAAATCTTTATTAAATCATAGACATGTTCTTCTGTCCTTAAAAATTGAATTATACATTTATTTCATTACACATACTTCAAACTTTTTTTTATATATTTTTTTTTAACTTTTTTTTTTTAAAAACCTGACACTCCTGATTCATTCTGACAAACAGGGCATAACTCTAATGAAATAATATTTCAGTAAATAAAATAAATTTTATCAAATATTCTACTCAGGTAAGCTATGTAGAATGTACGATAAAAAAAAAATATTTTAAGCAAGGAAAAATTTAAAATATACAATCAACAAACCACACATACTTCTTGAATAAAACAAACCATCCGCGCCTTAAAATTAAATAAAATATGAAAATTGAAACATTACTTTGGACAGTGATAAGGGAACGAATGTATCACTTAAAATGACCTAAAAATTTTCTTTTGGGCGAGGTACAGCAGAGGACAGATCTAAAGCAGAAACTCAGGTAAGAATTAAAATACATGGTATCCAACAGTATTGCACATCCACATAACACTTTTACCGTTTATCCACAATTTCTTGGTCATGAGCTCACAGCCTATAACTCGTAAAGGACCAAATAGAAAAATAATCCAATCAATCAATGATTTTAAAGTTCAATATATATTTAAAAAAAAAAAAAATGACAAGCTATCTTAAGCAATACCACATTCTGTAACTAAGCTTGTTCACAAGATGTGTAAAGCAACCATAACTGAATGGGTTATTTTTTTTTTTAAATTTAACAAAAAAAAAATTACATTGAATAAAAAAAAAATTAACATGGTCTGTTAAAAGAAACAAACCAAAGCTAAAAAAAAAAAAAACAATACTGTACATGCGGACAAGTTGGTAAGGAATCAAAGAGAAATAAAAAACCAAGTAGTACATCAACAGGAGAAACTTACACTGAAACGGTGCCGGAAATTTTAGCCAGGGCACACAATGGGCCTTTGGGTTGACACCAGTACATACAGGATATTTACAAAAGACGGTAGATCAATCATCTCAACATAGGCATTGCAAGTGGGAGGAAAAAAAATTAAAATAACTTGTCTTTGAGCCCTCTTCACACTCCATAACAGATTGACAAGATGGAGAAACATTTATGTTTTTCAAGATAGAAGAGGGTATCTTTTCAAATTACAGAACAATATTTAAAGTGGATATCTTAAATGTTTAAACAATCCTACGCTCAGCAGTATATTTTATGTACAGAAAGGTAGAAACACAAGCAAAATAATACATTATATATATAGATCTACATATACATATAAATATATATATATAATGCAGAAGCTAAAGACAATATGCAAACATAGCTTAACTATATACAGCTAGATAAAATAGAGTTAGTAGTGAAAGATGAATAAATGCTAACTGTTAGAATGACTTTGAGCCAATGGAGACATTGTTTGACAATTGTAAATGAAAGTTTCAGATGGAAGATTGGAGGACAAAACTAACAAGTAGATCCCGACCAGTTTTATCAGAACTTTTCCCACAAGGGTGGACAGCCTGGAGACATCACTATGGCACAACTTGGTCCGTAGCAGCGCCAGAAGCAAGAGAACTTGATTAGCATGACAGGTTGATACAAAACATGCCAAGGTGTTCAATAGGATGCCTCTTTCAAGTTCAAGACAGACTTTTTATCAACAAAGTACAAACTCTTTTCATTTGAAATGATGAAACTTCTCGACAGAAGAAATAATGATGGTTTTCGATTACATAAAATCAATATACATATCATCTATTAAAACGCCTTATTTGTATGTACATATCTCAATATTCCATGGCTCTAAATTTACTCATGACTAAATAACATGTTAATGAATATAATATCTGTTACAGAATTCAACATCTTTCTAAGATTCTCTAGTATATCAAGACTTGTATTCGCAATGATGAATGTTAATGCTAAATATATGAATATAGATAGTCTTAAAACATAACTCTATTTTAAAACAAGGGAGACAAAAATATTTTTCAAACCTGGGTTATCTATTATATGTACAATTGTCTTTTTAAAAAAAAAATTAATACACTTTGATATTACATTCCCAGATTTAGTTAGTTCAAACAATAAATTGTAAACAGCTAAAACAAAACATTTAACACCACTGCCATTTTTATGCGGTGAATTGTACATCACACCTAGCAGTAAAAAAAAAATCTGTCCCTGAGCATGGATTCAAGTCACATCTAAATCTCAAACAACGGAATCCTCACAGTTCCTGATTTTAACAACAGAAGTCTCTGAGAAACCAGATTCTAGCTACATAACCAACCATACCCTGTTTTAATCATATTGATATTAACATTTTTAATATGACAAATCAGATATTGTTTCAAGAAAATAGACCAATAATTAAAAAAAAATGTATCTCCCTTATTAAAACCAAACAGATTCTGTCTTTGCTTAAGACAGTTCACATTTTATATAACCAGAAACCACACACTGCCTGCAGGGACCAGAGTAGAACAATTCACCAGATGATAAAATCAAACCACTGTCAACAAATTATCAACACTTTTCCTCAACAATAGTGAGAACCTTTTCACCACAAGAGATCCATTAAACATAGAGACTGACAGTTTCCTTATCATATAACATCTTTGCTAATAACTAGGATGTATAACAATCTACTGCCCTGCTGCCCAATGAATGAAAAATCTCTTGAAATACTCCGTAAAGCTGTCAATGCATCACATAATCAGCCACAAATGATGAAATAAAGAATTAGATTAAAATTACACACTTGAATCAACAATCTCAAAACAACTTCAGAAGACGGTGGGTCCCAGGTATACAGGGTAGGTCCCAGGTATACTGGGTAGGTCCCAGGTATACAGGGTAGGTCCCAGGTATACAGGGTAGGTCCCAGGTATAGAGGGTAGGTCCCAGGTATACAGGGTAGGTCCCAGGTATACAGGGTAGGTCCCAGGTATACAGGGTAGGTCCCAGGTATACTGGGTAGGTCCCAGGTATACTGGTAGGTCCCAGGTATACAGGGTAGGTCCCAGGTATACCGGAAGGTCCCAGGTCTACTAGCAAGTCCCAGATCTACTGCTGCGCATGAAGTGGAATAACAAACTTGGAGCCAAAAGGCGAGACATACGTTATGCCCAACTTTTTGAATATGGTTGAAGGTATGCTGAGATCACATAAATACAAGCTGCCACACCTCTGAGACACCTGGTTTAAAGGTAAAACTTTACACAGGCTCCACCTGTGGAGGAAATTTGTCACATTTATTTTTGTTGCGCCCAGAAGAGTTCTCACTAAATACCTTCCCACTTCTAAAAGTAACACTCCAAATAAATTAATAAACTTGTATCCTGATGATTTCTGATTCTTTTTTTTTTTTTGCCTTGATTTGAGATCTATTATGTAAAAAATTCAAAAACTTTAAAACTTAATTTATTTTTATTTTTTTTAACTTTACATTTGCAGTATATTTAAAATTATCTGTTCACAAATAGTGGGAGAAAAAATGTACTCAAGACAATATAATTTTTGTCTTAAATTATTTGCTTTATATAATTCTTTTAAACATTTTGCTTCCTTTTTCGTTCAGCACACCTATTAAGCCGACAGTTTAAGTTAGTATGTTAAAAATGTTTCAGTAGGCACAGTGCCAACTAAAAACACATAATCTTAAAATTGTTTTTCTCCAAGAAAGTTCTAACTGGCGTGTTGCATTTCTTTGCTGTCCACCTGACTAAACGTATGTTCCAGCTCTACTAAAGTAATTAAATGGTCTACCTGCACAGATTTTTTAAGTTTGAATAAGGCACATATTAGTAAAATACCGCAAAACATTTTTGATGGTGTATTTATCTTATGATTTAAAAAAAGCAAATGATATTTAATTTGAGTGACATACTTAGCTGCAATGCCAGGATCATGGGAAGGGGGATCTAATGCTAGAACTTGAGCTTTAATGCTGCTGTTGACCATCCAATTGACCACGCTGGTGTACCATGGCTGTTGATTCAGTGTTGCATCAAACGGGTCATCCATGGCTGTCACTATTAAATCAATGGTATCTGGAAGACCTAAATGTTTGTGAGAAAACTTCATTAGTTCATGCTCTCATTAAAAATTAATTTCCTTGTTGTGTATTATCTATAATGAAAACCAAAAAGGAAATGCAAAAAAAAAAATATATATATATATATTAATTTTAAAAAATATATTTTAAAATGATGTAAATTCATTTAAATAAAAAGATATTAAAAGTTACTTGTCAACAAGAAATCTTAGCAGTAAAAAATGTAAACATATTGTTTAGCCAAAGAAACATAAAACACTGTGTAACAGTGACCCAAATTTACCTGTAACGCTGTGCGTCAAAGTGGACCCAGACATCTTATACAGCTCCACCTCCTGGGCTAGGACCTGGGGCACGGCTGAATTTTTGGGCAGCATTAAAATGACCTGCACTCCGTGGGAGGAGAGAATGCGGGCACAGCACACCCCTAGGGCACCCTGCTGGTGGGGCCCACACAGCACAGCCACGACAGGCATCTGGTGGTTGTTCTTGGGGTGGATCCTACAAACAGAATAACAACAGGTCACTATAACATTTGTTCTTGGGGTGGATCCTACAAACAGAATAACAACAAGTCACTATAACATTTGTTCTTGGGGTGGATCCTACAGACAGAATAACAACAGGTCACTATAACATTTGTTCTAGGGGTGGATCCTACAAACAGAATAACAACAGGTCACTGTAACATTTGTTCTTGGGGTGGATCCTACAGACAGAATAACAACAGGTCACTATAACATTTGTTCTTGGGGTGAATCTTACAAACAGAATTACAACAGGTCACTATAACATTTGTTCTTGGGGTGGATCCTACAAACAGAATAACAACAGGTCACTATAACATTTGTTCTTGGGGTGGATCCTACAAACAGAATAACAACAGGTCACCATAACATTTGTTCTTGGGGTGGATCCTACAGACAGAATAACAACAGGTCACTATAACATTTGTTCTTGGGGTGGATCCTACAGACAGAATAACAACAGGTCACTATAACATTTGTTCTTGGGGTGGATCCTACAGACAGAATAACAACAGGTAACTATAACATTTGTTCTTGGGGTGGATCCTACAAACAGAATAACAACAGGTCACTATAACATTTGTTCTTGGGGTGGATCCTACAAACAGAATAACAACAGGTCACTATAACATTTGTTCTTGGGGTGGATCCTACAGACAGAATAACAACAGGTCACTATAACATTTGTTCTTGGGGTGGATCCTACAAACAGAATAACAACAGGTCACTATAACATTTGTTCTTGGGGTGGATCCTACAGACAGAATAACAACAGGTCACTATAACATTTGTTCTTGGGGTGGATCCTACAAACAGAATAACAACAGGTCACTATAACATTTGTTCTTGGGGTGGATCCTACAGACAGAATAACAACAGGTCACTATAACATTTGTTCTTGGGGTGGATCCTACAAACAGAACAACAACAGGTCACTATAACATTTGTTCTTGGGGTGGATCCTACAAACAGAATAACAACAGGTCACTATAACATTTGTTCTTGGGGTGGATCCTACAAACAGAATAACAACAGGTCACTATAACATTTGTTCTTGACACAGTTCTGTGGAGCCAACTATAACAAAGCCTGATTTATTGAGTTGGAGTGACAGGCCTATGCATGCAAAACAACTTCACAGAAGAGAGTAGATTACACTCTTAAAAAGTTAACAGCAAGTTAAATAAATTTTTCCAACACAGTATGAAGTTAAATACATTACAATTACCCTTCCAATTGAAAATACCTTATATATGTTATGGGTAAAGTGAGAGATCCATCATTCTATAGTATGCAGGAAATGAGCAGAATAAGTGCAAAGTAAATCTTATTTCATCAGGGATAATATACAAAAATAGTAATCGTTAAAGTGCAGAATATGCTTTTCAATACATTTAACCTTTTCTAACCCTAGTCATAATCTTAACCATAACATTACAATTTGTAATCAACAGTGTGTAATATAAACGGCGGTTTTTTTTTACAGGTGGTAATATTTGACCGGAGACAGTATTGTGCCCCATGTAGTGGCCATAACAATATCTTCTATTATATGGGTACAGAATTCTTCCTTACTTATTGTCCATCAGGCCTATTTGTATACTATTTTAATGGATTAAACCAGACACTGAGATAAAAAAGAAACCCCATTAATACTTAAAGTCAGCAACAGATGATTACTTTCATGTAAACAAGTACCTGTGACTGCCTCCTATCAAATGGATCACCATCTCACTAGCTGCCCTGCCCTAAGTCTCTCATGTAAACAAGTACCTGTGACTGCCTCCTATCAAATGGATCACCATCTCACTCGCTGCCCTGCCCTAAGTCTCTCATGTAAACAAGTACCTGTGACTGCCTCCTATCAAATGGATCACCATCTCACTAGCTGCCCTAAGTCTCCCATGTAAACAAGTACCTGTGACTGCCTCCTATCAAATGGATCACCATCTCACTAGCTGCCCTGCCCTAAGTCTCTCATGTAAACAAGTACCTGTGACTGCCTCCTATCAAATGGATCACCATCTCACTAGCTGCCCTGCCCTAAGTCTCTCATGTAAACAAGTACCTGTGACTGCCTCCTATCAAATGGATCACCATCTCACTAGCGGCCCTACCATAAGCCTCTACTATCATGTAAACAAGTACCTGTGACTGCCTCCTATCAAATGGATCACCATCTCACTAGCTGCCCTGCCCTAAGTCTCTCATGTAAACAAGTACCTGTGACTGCCTCCTATCAAATGGATCACCATCTCACTAGCTGCCCTAAGTCTCTCATGTAAACAAGTACCTGTGACTGCCTCCTATCAAATGGATCACCATCTCACTAGCTGCCCTAAGTCTCTCATGTAAACAAGTACCTGTGACTACCTCCTATCAAATGGATCACCATCTCACTAGCTGCCCTGCCCTAAGTCTCTCATGTAAACAAGTACCTGTGACTGCCTCCTATCAAATGGATCACCATCTCACTAGCTGCCCTAAGTCTAATGTAAACAAGTACCTGTGACTGCCTCCTATCAAATGGATCACCATCTCACTAGCTGCCCTGCCCTAAGTCTCTCATGTAAACAAGTACCTGTGACTGCCTCCTATCAAATGGATCACCATCTCACTCGCTGCCCTAAGTCTCTCATGTAAACAAGTACCTGTGACTACCTCCTATCAAATGGATCACCATCTCGCTGCCCTGCCCTAAGTCTCTCATGTAAACAAGTACCTGTGACTGCCTCCTATCAAATGGATCACCATCTCACTAGCTGCCCTGCCCTAAGTCTCTCATGTAAACAAGTACCTGTGACTGCCTCCTATCAAATGGATCACCATCTCACTAGCTGCCCTAAGTCTCCCATGTAAACAAGTACCTGTGACTGCCTCCTATCAAATGGATCACCATCTCACTAGCTGCCCTGCCCTAAGTCTCTCATGTAAACAAGTACCTGTGACTGCCTCCTATCAAATGGATCACCATCTCACTCGCTGCCCTAAGTCTCTCATGTAAACAAGTACCTGTGACTACCTCCTATCAAATGGATCACCATCTCGCTGCCCTGCCCTAAGTCTCTCATGTAAACAAGTACCTGTGACTGCCTCCTATCAAATGGATCACCATCTCACTAGCTGCCCTGCCCTAAGTCTCTCATGTAAACAAGTACCTGTGACTGCCTCCTATCAAATGGATCACCATCTCACTAGCTGCCCTAAGTCTCCCATGTAAACAAGTACCTGTGACTGCCTCCTATCAAATGGATCACCATCTCACTAGCTGCCCTGCCCTAAGTCTCTCATGTAAACAAGTACCTGTAACTGCCTCCTATCAAATGGATCACCATCTCACTAGCTGCCCTAAGTCTCTCATGTAAACAAGTACCTGTGACTGCCTCCTATCAAATGGATCACCATCTCACTAGCTGCCCTAAGTCTATCATGTAAACAAGTACCTGTGACTGCCTCCTATCAAATGGATCACCATCTCACTCGCTGCCCTGCCATAGGCCTCCAACTGCCTTGTGCCAGTCAGGCCACACTGCGCTGCTGTTTCACAAATTTTCTCTCTCATCTCCAGGCTAATTGAAGGCACAACCAAGCCAGTATCTGTTGAATCAAGTCAGACTTACTGTCCTATCTCAGTATCACATTCCTTAATACAATTATATATACACACACACATTTAAAAATATAAATTAATTAGGGCTTGTTATACAAAATTTCAACAAGTTTACTTAACTAGAAAATTATTAACCAGCAAGAATCTTTAGTCATTAAATTTGTAATGTCTAAGGTACAACAAAATGGTATAAAAGTGGTATATAACCAACAACCCAAAGGGAAACAACCAAAAGACAGGCCAAGGCTCAGAGACAACCAGACATGGAAGAAGAAGACAGCTCTGTGGAAGAAGGTGGTTGAGCTGTAGAGCCACACGGCTGGATGGTTTAGTTATTTTAGGAGAATTCCAGGAGCTTTTAGTTTAAAGGTCATTTTTTATTTAATTTTTCATGAGATTTTCAGGATCTCCTTGAATTTCAAACAGATGCAGGAACCTTGAATTTATAATACTCTTCAAGACTTAGACCCAGTACAAAAAAAATAGTTCATAGTAATCTCAGTGAAACAGAGGATGTCCCAGAGTCTAATCAATGTAAGCAAAAGCAAGTGGGCATAGTGATTACTACAGAAGATTCCTTTTGTACGCTTCACAATAGAAACATAAACCCTACCTAAGCTGTGATAAAGATAATTACAAATGGATGTGTTCTTGACTTTTTACCGTGTAAGTATAACACAAAAGTGACTGTAACCCAGTTGTACCTGTGTAATACAGTTGAGACTTGGGACCAGGGACTTGAATCTGCTGCTTCATAACAGGCAGAGCATTGCTCTCCCCAGGCTGCAGAATGTTCTCATCATGCCTGTACTTCTGCTCACTGGGGTCTGCATCCAGGCTCAGGTCAGGGAACCCGTTCTCTATCTCCTGGAAGACCTCTTTTTTGTTGAATAGGGCAAGGTTGGATTCAAAATCAAACTCTTGCAGAAAAGAGTCTGTTGGAGCACTGAAACATTCACTGTTTCTTGAATTAGCTCCCCGTTTACTTCTTTCCATTTTCCTAGCTGCGGTGCCATTTTTGTATTTGCCTGAAAATGTAAGTACATCTATCATATGTGTAAGTATATAAATATATTTATTTATACTAAGTAAATGACAGAAAAAAAATATCACAAAAGGCAATAAATCTTGAGTTAAATCATGGATAAAATATCTCAGTACAGAATATTAAGACAAAATATCTCATACACAATATCCTAATTGTTAGAGGAGCTAATATAAATATTTAACCACGATGACACTTTAGTAAAATTGTTATATTCTAATGCAGCTAAATTTACAACATAATATTAATATTATTTAATATTTCAACATGGAATACAATTCATACATAATAAAAAAAGTAGAAATTAGATACACTATTCTTATTTTGCCAGTATTTGTATGTCTGACATTTAACTTAAACTTAAAACCCCCTATATAAAACAAATGATAAAACAGTGATGGACCATGTCTGTATAAACAATGAGACAATTCTACCACACCGGGTGGGAGAAACCTAATCAGAGGAGATAGATAAACTGCTATTTAAAATGTATAAGTTTAATAAGTTTTTAAAAATTCATTGTGAGACAATTCCACCAACTAAAACAATTATGAAGTAAATCTGTTAGAGTTCATGTAAAAACAATTTTTTTTTTTAAATTTATGTATCAATGAAACATTTTTAAAATATGTAAAAACTGATTTATACACTACTTGAACCTATAGTCAACAGATAAGGCAGCTTACCATGACCATTCTGATAATCTTGTTCAGCAACTTCTACAATAGAAGGCTCTCGGTTGGCGCTCTTGCTGATCCGTGGCCTGGGGCCAAGCTGTCCACCAACACCATTTAACTTGGAGGGGCTATCAGGCGGGGAAAGTTTCCGACGGCAACCGCTCTTACCCTCTGCGTTATCCACATTATTTACAAAACCGGGCTGGCCAGGCGCTGAAATAAACCCTGTACGTGCATTGGTGGTAGCTTTGATTATCTTTACAGGGGAAGAGCACTTAGGCTTGGTCACCTCGTCAATTTCTTTGGTCATCTTGGAAGGGGTGGCTTTTCTGGTGATGATTTCTTTGGCCTCATGAGATGCATGGATGATTTTAATGTCTAGGATGGTGGTTGAACTGGACAAAAAAATAAACATAATTAATTTAAACGCTGATATGATCAATTTTCCTAACAAGTTTTCAATGCTTACTAGAAGACATGTTTTAAAAATGTGCCACTTACCTTAAGTTCACTTCTGACTGATCACAGCGCAGACCATTGTGAAATGCATGAGTGATTGTTAACGTGTTCATCACCGGATCAATTTTCTGTACATGACCCTGATATGTGCCTAACTGGCCACAGTCTATAGAGACCATAGACCCAATAAAATGGTTTGGCTCAGATTCTGGCGGCATCATTTGAATTTGCTGGGAAAAAAAAATTATTCAGTGGTTATTTGTTGTGAGAGATGTAGATTTGTAACAAACGAATAAGTTGCAACTAGCTTAGGTTAGTTCAGTTGGGATTGGTTGCACTGTACTGTATGTTGTTTTATTTATCAAATAATAGATAGTAGCCTTATTTTATTCATAGAAAAACCCAGGAAGTTTAATTGCTTTTATTTATAATTCTCTACTAAGAACTCAGAAACGTAACTCTAATTTTGAGTTGTGCTCCCAACTTTGTGAGAACTCACAGCAAGTGTTTGTCCATCCTTTTTGTTTGTCTATCTATCTTTTCCTATTTTATTTTGTACTTTTCCTAGTTTGTAAAGTTATCAAAGTAGGAATAATTTTTTTTCCCATAATTATGAGCAGATTTTTATGACTACATACTTGTCTGTTGTTTACACTTCAGCATGGTTAAAATTACAAAAGGTAAATAAAAAACTCCTAGATCATGTGACAATTTCGTGTAATTTAGTCAAAAATAGTTGATATTGTACTGTAAAATTTTGTAGGTTTTTTCTAAATTTGATATTTAATGTAAATTTGTATAACCTCAATGAATTTGAATTTTAGGTTGTTTTTTTTAATTCATTTATATAATTAAACAACAAAACTGGTAGGTTAGGACTAGATAGTATGTCATTATCTATAGTTGGGATTTTAAAAATTGATGAAATTTATTTGTCGCATGCGTAGTCAGCTACTCAGCTTCTCAACAAATTGTCGAATTTTAAACATATATAATAAAAGTAGATCACCCTAAAAAAGAGTAAAATGGCTCCCGTTTCCATAACAGCTGTCACTCGACTCATCGTTAACAGAGTTATAAAGTTGTACTTTCTTTTGGCTATAGCTTTACAGAAATATTAATTCATTATTTCTCATGCGTTCAGTAAGTGAAGGTTAGAATCCGATTTCAGATGGAAATTTTTTACTTTGAAATAATTACATTATCATTTAATTTCTATTTAAAACAAATGGCTTAAAGTCAAAAGTAAACTTAAAAACTTTGCTATTTGCAGTGTACTCAAAGGTCTCTTGTTTTAATTAGAAGTCTACAACGTGTGCGTGCATTGATAGAGCAAATATCAATTCACCGCGACAGAAAACGCTAAAAATTTTTTTTATCTACAGCCAAATAAAACATCTTTTACAAATTTAAATAGATTTCACTAAACTGATATCAAAATACATGCAGGGAAGTAAAAAACCTACAATTTTTATTCCCAAAAAAAATCTGCATTTTCCACGACTACGAGGTATTGTTATTCTATGCGTTTTTTTTATGTAATAGTAAAAATATAAAAAAAAAATTCTCTTACATTTATCAATTACAGCATTAATTTCTAAATGTAAAAAATCAATTTAAAGCAATCAATTTTTTTAAAAATGTTCCTTAGCTTATTTTAAAAGTACATGTAAACCCAAGTAGATCCCTTCCGTCTTTATTGGCATACTTCGCTGAGGCATAAAATATTGTCAAAAACAAATTCCTCAAAAATATTGCCCTCGAGCTTCCAAAGATATTGTTCTATCTATCCAATAACAACAAAATCATCAAACAATTTAGGGTTAAGAAGATTATCAACAGCGAAGATCCAATATGCATTTTGCAGTATAAATCTGTTTCCTGCCCTATATTTCACTCCCCAGTCACAATAAAGGATTCTGTTATTGTAAGATATTATTCCCAGTCGTATTTTTTTGCATGAAATAACAGCCGACTGGAAATAGCCATAGATTACATTCTGTCTCATTATTACTTTTAAGAGACTAGAAATAGTAAAATACTTACTTAGGCCTAACTAACTATTGATTTGATTGACAAATAGGCAATAGGATAGAATAATATATTAGGCCTATAAAATTATAAATATTTGCTGCATGATCTTTAGAAAAGATATACATCTAGAAATAATAGATCTAGGCCTACTTAGTTATACTTGACAACTAGTCTAGATCTACTTACAAACAACAACAAGCATACTTGTAATTGTAAATCAAATTAGTAACAAGTAGGCTAATTAATAGTATAGTATAGGCCTACATAGTACATAGATCTAGATCTAGTCATAAGTAGGCCTACATATTAAACTTAAAGGAAGTGGCTATTCGGACCTGGGTCTTAAATCTTAATAGTTCCAGCCAATAGGGCCTTTTATATTTATTTATTATTAGTTCGGCCTAAGTAATATTAAGTATTATTAGTAGGCTATTAGTAGGCCTATTATTACTATTAGATCTATTCTAGATAGATCTAAGTACTAGATGTACTATTAGTATTAACTTAGTAAGACTTAGTTCATGAGTTGTGTCACTAGCTTTTGTATTTTGTAGGTTTTTTGTAGGTTTATCAAACAATTAGATTCTACTTACTCACCAAACAAAAGTAGATATTAAATTTATATATATATAAAGAAGTGCCTTGGTCCTTCAAATTAAATACAGCATTAAGTCCAAGGAAAATGAGATCATCAGTTATTTAAAATAATGAATTGGCCTTGGAATCAGGAGGTTAACCACCACACAAAATGGTAGAGGAAGCCTCAGCTGGTTGGATTGTTTAGTTGAAAATTTTCAACTTTCAAACATTTAATAGTCAACTGTTGTTCTCTGTATTTATATAGAACTATATGCAAGTGTAATTTAATACTTTAACCATTAACATCAAAACGAAATAACGTTTAGCGTAACATTTTACGAGCGAAATACATTTATTTCAGGTAACATTGCAATCTTTGTGCTTACAAGGGAAAACAAAACAAATCTAACCGGAAAAAGCTAGTCGCTTGTAGCTTTAAAAATATTTCTAAAAATAGCAAACGTCATTATTAAAATAAATTTTCATTATTTTAATTTTCTCGAGAGATCTAGATTCTAGATTATTTTCGATATCGTACTAACGAAATGTAATTTTTGGTGGAAAAATCTTTGTTTTCAATATTTACTTTTTAAAATTAATTTTAATTTCGAAAATAAGGGAGGCAACACGAATATTATGGAAATGGGGAACGTAAGATTTGCATTCCCTGGTTTCTCTGTTTCACTATGCTAGAAGGGGGAGGGGGCAGGTACCTAAAATGAACAATTTATGATGAGCACTTTAGACTTTGGAATTCTCGGTTTGCCCGCCACATACAAAATTGAACTTTATATATTAAATTATATATTTTTAGAAAATATTCTTTTTCCTTCAATTTTTAGTGCTTTATTACAAAGAAGCGTTATTGAAAATGTTTTAAGCATTTTTTATCTTCATAAAAGCGCGTCTAAAAATGAAGTCATTTAAAAAAAACGGAATGCTTCCTGTCAGGTCCGCCAATCTACATACATTCAGAAATATAGGCAAAGCCATTTGCCGGACGGCCCTGTTGGGGTGAATATGAAGGCCAAGAAACGTAAGGCCTCGTATTTTCCCGTTCGCGGTGGCGAAGATATCTTAATAATACCTGTGTGTCTGAGGAGGTTGGTCTGTTAAGACGTTTAACTTCTGCATCCTGTTGCTGGTGTAGCAAGCCATTCACAGGGTGCAGTCGTGGCTTCTGGCATTGATGTCCCGACGCCACACCGGTAAAGTTAAGGCATTTTCAACAGAATACTTGGCTTAAATTTCTAGCCGGATTATCCTTAGCCCCAGCGGACTGAGAAAAGGGAAATCGCAGTCTCCAGCAAGAGACGCTATCTCCTAAAGGAGCACCATCTTCTACTCAGCGCGTCCACACAACAGGCTGATAATGGGACGTCTTTGTATAATATTAATAAACTTACAGCCCCATCTGCGTATCCCCTCCACTTTTCCCGTTTCCATTCTACCTCGCCATTGTTGTGGGTTTATAAAAAAAAAATGTCAGTAATTTGGGTCTGTGAGGGTTAATAATAATATGAAGACAGCTGTGAATATCCAAATAAACAGCCGCGGACCAACTGGATTGGAAAACCTAACCCGAGACGCGTAAATCGAACAACGAAGCGGTAAAATGCTTTTCGTACTAACACTTATAGACAGTTGGCTAGTTTTTGTAACAGAAAAATCGCTAGAAATATTTTATGATGAAAAACCATCGAATTTAGCATTAATTTAGCATTAATTTCAATGAAATTTCACCAAACCAAATTTTGAAAATTAAAAAAAAATATTTCTAGTGTTTTTGGTTACAAAAACTAGCTAGCTGACTCTATAAGTAGAAGGAGAATCAATGATTGTTTAGCCGATATGTATGTTAGTTTATGAAATTTTAGAACTCCACGAACTGTTGTTTTTTTTCAAGATGGCCGCCGTTGCCATGGCGACCATATTATCAAAAGAGTCCCTGATGCTTGCAAATATTTTCCTTTAAGTACCCTAACTAAGATGTCAAAAATGTATCAATAAAACGTTTTATTTAAGAAGTTGGTTTTTTCTGGAGCCTACCCCCTTAACTAACATTAAATGCATTGTTGCATTGTCGGGCAAGCCGTTGAGAGAATTAGCCTATAAATAAACTTGAACATTGACTCTTCTGTGAGATTGGTATTCGGCACCCGCAAATTTATACGCATCGCTAAAAACTCTCTACCCCACCGCCACAAACCTGCACCCCCACCCTTCTCAACTCTCTGTCCTCACCTAAATTCTATCCATCCATGATTACGTGGACAGTGTTTTCACAACAAGCTACGTCAAAAATGTATCAATGTTTTTCTATTTTTAACCTTAATCACAGTGTTTGGTTGATTTAATTTATCTCTCATCAATATGCCGCTACTTTTAGATTTTTGTTTGTCTATCTCCTTGTTTTTTATACATTAATACAAAAATGAATCGCCAAGAAACATTGGGAAGTCGTTTAGAATAATTCAGACAAACCTCTACTGAACGTGAAATTTCCTACCACAACCCCAACACGATGAGCAGTAGTCCCAACGAGGAGAAACCAGAAAGAAACTCCCCTGTAGTTTTCTGCCCTTTTTTTTTGTTCGTAGAGCGGCCCATTGACTGTAAGGCGGTTCGGTTTGCCACCCAGAGTTTCCCAGCGGCTTTCTTAGCACCTGGGGTCAGTTAATTGGGTGTCCTGCACAAGGGGTCAGTTACTGCTTAATTCAACGGTGAAACTGCACAGGTGCATCAGCCGGCGCCCCGGGCTCCCCCCGTGAGCACTACGGCGCATACACTTGTTTTAATAAGTGCCATGCCCAAGGTATACGGAGGGCTACTATAATCAATGGCTAAAGAAAATAAGGGGTGCCCTCCAGGCGCCTCGGCATAATTTACGTTTGGGCACCTTGAGTCTCTCCATTATGATGATGTTATGAAACAAGGTGTAGATATGCCCTTTGGGTCAGAAACTTGGCCATCCTAAGTATCGAACTCACAGAAGCAGCTAAAATGGACTTCAAGGAACATATAAATCACTTTGCAAACTTATAAGAAAGAAAAAGAAATTGCATGCCGCCAAAATTGTAAGGCCATCGCCCCGTGTAGCTACTTACTGTCTTAGGCTACTTAAAAGTTACAGGTTTGCAGTTAATTTGTTAGTTTGTTTTTTTCAGAAAAGTGATATAAAATCATAGCTATTTTACGCTACGGGGTACAGCATAATAATACCGTATAAATACACAACTATGGACGTATAAAATACACAATTTACATATTAACATAGGGGACCCAATACTAATTTTTGCATAGGGGCCCGAAAATCCTAGCTACGCCACTGGTCGAGGGCTTAGAGTCTGACCGATACTTTTTCCAAAACAGAGGTTAAGTAAGTAACCTAAAAGCTTTATTGAAATTACCTTGTTTTTCACATAAATTACAAAGATTATATAGGGAAATACGACTGGTCAGTTTTGACCACTTTCCCGATGTTATTGTCAGTGATCGAAGAAAATTAACAATGGATGTGAATTAAAGGAGGATTAGAAGTTATTTTCTGTGGTTAGGAATTTAAAAAACCTTTCTGGAACTGATTGCATTATGCTTTTTGTGATATGCCGAAAAGAAAATTTATAAATGGGTCAGAGAATATATACAAGCCTATTTCACAGAGTAACCTGAAATTCACTAACGCTATGTTTTTTTGTAATATGTGGTCGAGTTGGAAAGGAAAATAATGTTATCAACAGCACTAAGGGTACATAAAATGATGGTATGAGCTCTTGTGAATATACAATATGATGGTATTAGATGGTAATATTTTTTTTTAAATACGATGGTATGCACGCTGGTTGGTATATCATGTTACAACAGTATTAGCACTAGTCTGTATATTGTATGACGGTAAACACAGACGCTGTTGGAGTCAGAAATAGAACTGCTTGATATGGCACCGGGGTTGTCTGGCATTTTCTGCAATCTGTGAGCAATGACTAGGGTCAAACACCCATCTAACAGAACACAGCCATGTGGGCCATTAGGATTGTTTAACAGACACAGCAAAGGTTTAGTTTAGACACAGCTATGCTGAAAACTGATAACACGTAATGATAGGATTATAGCTTAGATGTGAATAAACACAGCTAGGATCGTGACTTACTACAGCCATGTTTATTTCTAAATTCAATTAACAGCTATTTTTAGCTGAAGTTAGGAGAGGCAGAATTAGTATTTTGACAAATATACAACCACGGACTTACATAAATATGCATACAACAGTCCCATAGGTTCCACCTTATACTTATTGTTTCTGCCAGGTATCTCTTTGGGGGTGGGGGCGAAAAAAATCTCCCCCCCCCAGAACGAAATGGAATTTATAAAGAAAACATATACTTTTACCAGTGTCGTCCCCCCCCCCCCCCGGAAAATGTTGTCCGCCCCCACCCCATCCCAAAAATATCAAGAGCCCCCCCCCCCCCACGAAGAAAACAGTCTGGAAGAAACACTGCTCATACTTACACACCAAGGGGGTTAGGGATAGGGTTAGCAAATAGCATTGACAATAGCAAACTATGTGTGTATTTTAGTTAACTACCAGTAACCTAACACCCTCTTTTTTGAGAAGATTATATTATCAGACATCGGTGAAGCAAGTATAAGACTTGCCAAGGTTAGTTATAAGGTGGGAAAAATCCCAGGTTAATGAAAATGTATTACACGTCAACATGATTAGCGCTGTATGGCCCGTTGACTCAGATTTTCGGAATTTCAGCTTTTTTTTTTTCCGCCCAAAAACAATCAGCTATTGTTTGATTTTGGAGTTTTCTATTCTAGACGGGTTGTTTTCCCCATCTAGCGAGCCTCATCTGCCCGGGGTCCGAACTCGCCATGTTTGGGAGTTAGCAGCAATTCTCTCAACCGGACCACTAGACCAGGGGTCGGCAACCTGCGGCTCGCGAGCCGCATGCGGCTCTTTTGATATCAAGATGCGGCTCTCCAGCTCCTTGCACAAATACTAATAATCTTAATAAAAAAATAAAATATTTGAAATAAAAAAATGTTAGTGGCTCTTAAAAACCATGGAAATTTTGAAAATAGTAACTTTTGGCTCTTCCGCTTCAAAAGGTTGCCGACCCCTGCACTAGACTCCCCTATTTTGATGCACGATGTGGGTTGTTGTGAGGTTTCAAAACACAATATTTGTACAATGTTGGTGAATTCTTACCAACCTGGCGAGATTGTTTGTTATATCTAAGTGTATGCCTATATGGCGGTGACTTAGTGGGCTGTTGTTGTTCGTTAAACCGACATTTTTATCACTCTTCTTCGCAAGTTTTGCCATGATGTCATATCAAATGAACAGATTATGGTAGATTAACACATGATACTGATTGTGA